GATTGTGGGGAGGGCTGCCTCTTCCCTCGCTGCCTGGTCTTTCTCTGAGGTGGAGGCACTAATCAAGAAATAATCCCTAGATGGCCTATTCTTAAGAGCAGAGCTTTTTGATTTTTTTTTCTGTTCTGCTTAAAAAAAGAGCTGCCGAAGCTTCACAGACAACTTTGAAATATGATCTACTTAGAATGTTACTATTTTCCTCTCTTAATTTTCATTTTTATTTTAGAAGGGGTTCTTGTGAAAAATGTGATCGCTGTTGCTCATCTGGCCATCAGTTTTTGCTGGTATATTTTTCACTTACTTGCCCTCAGTTTAAGTTCCAGTCTCACTCACTGTCAGAGCAACTAATTGTGTTACCATAAAGAGAGTGCTAGTTTCAAATGAACTTCAGTAAAAAAGTCTTTCAACAAATTAAAATAGCAATATGTGTAATATTAAAAATACAGCTTGACAGTTTACAGTTCTATCATTATTTTTGGTAACTAAAATTATAGTATTAAATATTGGAATGTTAGTTGTAAACTGATAGTTATTGAAAGAAAACCAGATTTTTGTCTGCTGAGATTTCTCACTGATGTCACTTTCAGGCATCACTGGTCTAACAGGTTTCTCAGAAATTGTTGTATTGCTGTTGTTTGCCCTGAATATCAATCAGATTTTTAATTAGAAGCTATTTTTGCAGTGTATTTATATTGGAGTTTTACTTGATAGCATCATGAAAGCTTCCTGAATAATATTTATGATAATAAATATTATTCCTGATAATATTTATGTCCCTTTTTAAACATACTTAATCAAATTGTCTTATTTCTAAGTAGGAGTGATCAAAAATGAATCTGTTGCTTTCATTCCATAGATGGGTCTCATTAGGACAAAAGTAAAATTTCTTTTGTGCTGTTCTGTTGACCTATGACAACTCTTGTCTTCCTGCTTTGTACGTTTCATCTAGAATTTGTCTATAGCAATGCATTTTTTACTTTATTGTTAAGTTTAAATGCATTTCTCAAGAAATTACTAGTATCTGGGAAAGGGATGCAAGAATACTTAAACGCTAACAAAGTATTCTGTTGAAATGAATGAGCTGTAAGTTGGGAAATACAGCTTTTCCTTCAAATCTTGCTTGAAGGCTGAGTGAAACATTTTTTCTCCCTGCTTACATTTGAATCTAGAATGACAGACATAAAGAATGTTGTAATAAGCCATAAGTAGCAAGCAAACAATGAGTAAAAGTAATTGCGACAACCTCTTCTACAAACATTGAGATTTTGTTGATTTATTGCTATTGAGTAGCCACCTAATCACATTTTGGTTTCATAAATTCCTGTGAACATTTACATCCTCGGTTGAAACTCTTTAGTGCCAAAGCTTTCAAAGTTAGGGAAGTTAAGTGAATATGAGTAACAGCAAAAATAAGTTGATGGAAAGCAATATAAAAAGATCTTCTTCCTGGTTTTCTACTCACGGTAGCTAAAAAGGAGTATAAATTAGGTTTATTAGTCCTTCCTTTGTTGCTGAAACATGGAGACTAATGTAGTCACTTGAGTTGCAGAGACTGATTAAAACTGGAGCAGAATGCAAAACCTCTGAGGACTCTTCCTTCAAAGTGAGAGAGGTTCCATGGGAAGGAGATCCTTGAGAGCCAGAGTAGGAAGGATGGGGGGCAGGGGGTTCTGTTCCTCAAAAGAGAGCTTTGAAGGTATGTAGAACTTGTTTGGGAACATTAATAATTAATGAATAAGTAAGCTTGGATTTAAATTTATTATAAGTGTAAGGTTTGAACTTTGGGGTAAGAAAAGGTATTTGTCTTGGTGGTGGTTTCTTTCTTTAATTTGATTTCGGAAGGTTCACATTGAGTCTGGATAGATCACACTAATGAAATTCACAGATAAATATCTCATAGCCTTTAAAACTGTAGTTTCCATCAAGTGTTTTTTTAATCCAATAGTCATTCCATCCTTAATGTTACCTGTGCTAGTATTCATATACCCTAGCTACCTTTTCTCTGAAGTAATAGAACATATTATTTTAACTTTTTATTGTTCTGTACCTTTAAAGGCTTAAGGGAACAAAATCATGGTTCTTTTTTATGGGAAATGAGCCTTGCTGCTGTTGTTCTGTTCTTGCTTGCTTTGTGCTCCAGGTTCCATAACAATCCTGGTACTTGACTGCAACACTGCTGCAGAGCCCTTGACTCTTCTGTCTCCAGAGGTGGTAGGGAACTCAGTGGTACTCTCTCCTTTTGTTTGTTTTAAAAGGAATTGTGCAAACTGGCTCATTTATCTAGAATGTTCACATTTATAGTGCTGAAAGCTTGTTTAGTGTGTATTTCTATAAAATCTGTATGACCATAGAAAATACAGTTAGGTAACAGCAACTGGAATATGAAGTCTGGTGTCAAGAAATAAAAATAGGACATCATGAGAGCTCTCTCACAACTTACCGGCTGTGAAAGGTGAGATAAAATCTGTAACTAGTAAAAGTAATGGCCTAAGTATGCATTAATCTTACAAGCAAGAGAAAATACGATATATTGGTTGAATATCATTAGTCAAAATAAATCCCGTCCAGCCTTGCATTAAGGGAAGATAACTATTAAAAGATAGTTTGTGTAAGGCAATAGTAGAAGCAACAAATACGAAAGGTGTTTTTATTGCATGATTCTGCAGAAAGGAAATTAATGTTTTGGAGAATATATTCCCTTTATCACAGAATCCATTGGATTGTGTAAAAGGAGAAGGTGATTCTGTAGCTGTTAGGTGAGTTGGAGTAGCATTTTCAGTGAAGAGAGACACTGTTGTCCTCTTACACAGGGGCCTTTCACAGTCATCTACAGCAGTGGAGATCTGCTTATACTTTATTTTGCAAGTATAATCAGGGAGGTAGTTAAAAGACTAACACCTTTTTTTTTTTTTTTAGGCAGACATGACATTTATATAGTTGATATCCCTTAAATGTATAATACTAGAGAAATACCATAAAAATATTTAAAATTACTTGCAACAGTTCCTGGATTTTATGTATTGTCCTGCGTCTGAAGATTGTCTGTATTATGACCATTGACCACAACTGGCAGTGTCAGGTCAGTGTAGATTTTGAGAAGAAAAGGCATGATAGCCTTCCCTCAAACAGCTGGTGTTTCTAATAGTGCTGCTTATGTGGATGGCACTGAAGTGTCAATAATTAGAGATGTTAAGAGCCTCAGTAATCAAAATGAACCCAGGGATTTTTGGTCCATGCAGAAAAGTGTGGCAAACATCCATTCCTGAAAAAACTGTGGAGATACAGATTATACTGCATTAAAGGTTGATAATGTATCTCAACATTCTCTGTAGTTCTGAACGTTTATTGTGCATCCCAGAACCCAAGTGTCTCGGAAAGCAGCCAAGTGCCTTGCTTTGTAATGTAAGGCCTCCAGCTATTTGTGATCTTTCGTAGCAGGTTCTAAGTGTTACGGCAGAAATCCTGGAAAGATCTGTGGTGCTGTGGTGCAGGGTGGATCACACCAGGCTCCAGGACGCTGAACATCGGAGGGCAGAAAAGACATGTCGCTCAGCAGGGCAGACAGCACTCCAGTAGAAGTTGCCGAGAGCTGGTCTCTGTTGCTTCCTTATGCATACGCCACAAAATACCCTTGATATGCTGTTGCACAGAAGATTATTCATAGGAAGGGTTTTATGG